CAGAACAACAGAGAATTTTTCGTGTCTTTTATTTCATCATGACGAATGTGGGGAAGAGCAGAGAGATTCTTGTGAGGAAAAAAATTATAAGAAATGAAAAAGTAAAATAAAAAAGCTGAAAGCCAACTTTACAAAAAAAAAAAAAAAAAAAAGTGCTATGGTATTTTTTTTGTTCCTTTTTGAGATTTGTGTAATACTATTAGCCAGTGCTGAGAATGAGCTGCTCTGTAAGCCCACAGCAAAAACATCACCCGTTTGAACAACAGGAGAATTTTTTTTCCCAGAGTTTTGTTTTGTTTTGTTTATTTTTCTCCCACTGGCTTTAACAGAGTCTCTCTGTGCTCACTTGAATTTTATTTTTTAAATTATGATATGTGTAACTGCACGTAACAAGCTTGTTCACCTGGTAGGCTTCTGCAGGCTCTCACAGCCCTAGTTAAGATGTGATTAGTTGCTAAGGAGTTTGACTAACACCATATGCCATCAGATTACTGTGCAGTTCGGAAGAAATCCCAAGGCTACATTCTCCTTTTCTTGAATGTTTCATACGCTTCTGCGAAGCGGCGGCACAGTATTTTTTCTGAGCGACTAGGAAGAATTGATCTCCATAATCCGCATTTTGCAGACTGACTGGCACGTTGGCAAAAAGCTTTTCACATGGCTTCTGATTTCTCTGTGTGTTTGTGTGCATAAGCTTTTACAGTTAGAAGGCTCACAGAAGCTATCTTCCGTATGACTTTGCAGGAAACTCATTTAAGATGCTTCCTGCTCAGATTATCCAAGTGATAAGGCATGACTAGGGGGAGGGAGAGAGAGAAGAAAATCAAAGAAACCGTAACATGGCTAAAATGTACAAATCCTCTTTTGCCCCCCAATCAGATATTCACTTAGGTGGAATCGACTGTATCTTTTGTACACAACCAACAAATAGAGGAAAAAAAAAAAAAAAAAAAAAAACAGGAACGTGAAACACGTGAGGTGTGTAGATGTATTACCAACACATAATGACCACCAACAATACGAGACACAAAGTAGAGAGACAAGTATTAGGAAAATGGTTTAATATTGGAGACAGAAGCAAAAAACTGCATCACACAATAACATACGTTACAAAAATAAGTCTGACTGTTTCAACTACACGGTTATGTTCACAATGAGGACAGAAGAATCAGAAAAAACTCTGATCTAAACAGCAAAAAAGCAAACCCCTAACGCTTTAACTAATACATTTATCCACGCAAAGTGACCGAGTACTCCTAATTCTAATTACCTTATTGTGTAACTGCACAATACAGAATAAAAAGTGAAACTTACCGCTTTTGTTAAGACAAAATTCTAAACACTAGATATAAGCAAAGGGAAAAAAAGAAACCAAGCCAAAGTTTTTAATTCTCTAAACAAAACCAACTCTCTTTCTACCGTCCAGAAATCAAACTTGAAAATCAGTCATGATCGAGGGGGCCCACGAGAGTAAGCCACAAAAATTTCCATTTGTTTTTTAATCTCCAGTATAAAAAGTTCCACTGGTACAAAATGCGTTAAGTACAATCAGGTTGTAGAAATAGGAAAGCTTGCTTTTTTTTTTCTTTTTCTTTTTTTTCTTTTTTTTTTTTTTGGCTCAAATTCCATCAAACAACAAAATTCAAATGCATCAATAAAACAGAAACAATACTCAAATGGTCTTACAGTTTCCACTAGATTGCATTAACTTTGGCTTTTCTCAGACAATACTTAAAAACTAGTTTGTAATTCTAAACAAAATGATAGTATTATTAATCTACAAACAACAATTCTCACAGCACAAAAAAAACACAAATACATAGTTTTTTCTTTTTTTTTTTCTTTTTTTTTTTTTCTTCTTTTTTTTCTTTTTGTATGACATTATCCAAAAAGGTAATGAAACTACAGGATATTTTTTCCTTTTGTTAATTAGCACTTAAGATAATAAAAACAGAAACAGTAAAATGATTCCAGAGTAGCACAAGCCAAGGAACTGTAACCCCTATGGTGAAAGAAAGATGAACTTGTTACTCCTTTGAGGACTGCCATTTCATTGCAATTAGCTAATTTGTTTGAAAAAAAGTAACTAGTCTAGTCTTCTGATTAGAATTTTGTAAAGCAATTTCCCTTGTTTTTCTTCCTCTCTTATTAGGCCCTTGCACCCTTGCAGCTTTTTCCATTCAATATTTTCTAAGAGAACTGGTAGATAATTTGTCTCCAAGGAGGTGTATGTTTGGGCTCTCATTTTTGTACCTGATTTAAAAAAAAAAAAATAAATAAAAATAAATATTTCAATATGGACCCATCTCACTTGTCTGGAAATACTGAACCGTCCTTCCTCTCCCACTGCTAAGCCAATATCTCACGTAGCATAATTTGGGGCACCTGCCTGGGTCTGCAGCCAATGCCAAGTTACACTGCCCGAGGACCAGAGATGTCACTGCTCTCAGCGGACCGGTAAACCTGCAGGACACACTGGGGCATCTAACAAAGCTTTGGAAATTTATACGATGGGTACAATGAGGAAGAATTAGTGAAACAGTCTGAACAATCCAAATGATGATCTCATATTATATATATATGAACATATATATAATATAACGTACGTGAGATGATACTTTGAATATGCAAAATTGCTGCAAGTAGTACAAAATAGCCCTCAAAGGGTGTAGGAAGGCCCCAGCAGTAGTAAAAACATGTGAGAAAAGTATAGATCATTTATTTATAAGTGCATGTGCTATAAGAAGGAAACTTTTTTGCATCACTAGAGGCTAGTCCTTTCCATCCCAGGGCTCTACATAAAGAAGCATTTAAGTTGGGGATGAGAGACAAGAGTGCACCAGCTGATATTGTTCATATAGGGCTTTGTTTTTAAATTGAGATGGCATTGAATATAATCAGATAGAGCTAGGAAGAAGGCATGGCACTTTATCATCAGTAGCAGGTGCTGCTGTTCACACACATTGGATTGGCAACAAATTCGCTATACCGGTAGCAAAGAACCGAATTTGGTTGTTGGTCACTACTCGTGCGGTAGAAATGCAATCTTATGAGACTTACAAGGCCGTGAAAGGGCAACCAGCATCTCTTTTCTGGTTCCTTACACACAGCTTCCTCCAGCAAACACCCACATCAGTCACAACTGTATTCCCACGGACTACTGGACGAGTAAAGTTACTCCTCTCTATACGAGTGTCTGCAGGAGCAAGCCGATACATCGCCGTTACAGGTAATGGCAGGTACCATCAAACATTACAGTGTATGTAAACTTTATCCATAAAAAGTAGTTTAACTGCAGTGCACGCTGAATTTTCACCCAGGAAGATCTAGTGCATCTGATTTAAGCAAAAGTTCATTTATTTAAATTACAAAAATATTATTATTATTTTTTTCTCCTCAAGGTTTTCAAATGGTGGATTTACCACTCCTTTCTGGGAGCGGTTCACACAATAGATAATTAAAGAATTGTTTTATTTTTCTTTTACTTTATTAATACTGAATAGCATATTCCAGCAGCATATTAAAAGCTCTTTAAGAAAAGACAAAATCCCCAAAATCTAAAAAGGAAAACCACAAGTTAATTATCGTTTTAAATAATTTTAGTTATAGATACAGAAGAAATTTAGACAGCAGTAAAATAATTTTGTCCTTCAGATCTGCCCTGTGCATTGTTCTGATTTCAATCATGTATTAAATAAACCACAAAAAACTAAGTATATATATATTTATAGATATATATATATATATAAAAATAAACAGCAAAATGGTGAATGTATAAAAGGTATTAACACTCAAGACAGCTCTGGGTGGAAAGGGTTAAAAGTTCAAAACTTTCTCACCTTAGAGGTTTCCATACAATATGAAGAAAATACATTGTGAGGTTTGCTTTCACAGCATTGATGTGTGCAGAGTGGTTAAAAAAGTGAAACATGGGCACTTATACAATGTTTTACAAAAAACATCAAAGAGAAATAACAAACAATAACAATTTCAGGCAACAAGACCACAGGATAGCAAGTTAACAAACTTTTTAACCTCTTTTTTCTTTAAATATTAGGGATTTATACAAAACACATAATAAAATACCCATGTTATCAAATTACTTCACACAAGAAACACACTGAAGCTCTAGGAAGAAAGTACCTTTGGAATTTGGCACTATAGTTTCACTGATTTTTTTTTTTTCTTTAAAAGAAAAACCGATCACATTTTGCTGAACACAAACACATCTAAATTGTTCACAATAAAAAAATGACATCAATGCGTCACAAGCCAACACAAACTTATTCTGGAATACTTTTTAATTTTTTTTTCACATGAAATTCTTTTTTTTTTTTAAGCAAACAACTTTTTTTTTTTGTTTTTTTTTTTGTTTTTTTTTTTGAATCTCGTTTTTGTTCTCCTTCTTCAAGTAAACCAATTTTAAACTCGTCTTTTATAAACATAGAACACTTAAGACCATAAGACTCATGATGAAACCACAACTTAATTCACAGAAGCACCAACGTAACACATTTTACAGTAACCTTTCTTCTGTACATTGAAACAGTATAAAATATAGGTAATTTCATGTGCATTAAACCATGGATTGTCTAACTGTGAGTCAGTTCAGCAAAAGGTGACACAAGTAGGTAGCATTTGCCCTAAAACAGGGTAAATATTTTCTTATACTAATCTACAAAAAGTGGTTCTATATATATATTTTAATGAGAAAGTGAGCCACCTAAAATGGCCTTATCAAAAAACTTTACACTGCCTGAAAAATGTAAAAACTATTACAGACCTCTAGAGACTTAAAATCAGACAGTTTTATTTCTCAAACTGTTTTGGAAGTAGTCTGTTAGAAACCAACATTCTGTGCCTCTGGACACATATTGCTATTGTCACCAGTGACCAGGCAGAATGCCAATCCCTGTATAATACTTTCAAGTCTGTTTTTTTATTTTATTTTATTTTTTTACGAAATGAAAACAAAAACAAAAAACAAAAACAAAAGAAAACGAAACCCAGAGGAAAAAGAAAAACAAAAAAAAAACAAAACAAAAAAAAAAAAAAAAGAAAGAAAAAACATTTTGCCACAGGTTGTCTTTAAATCCTATCATTAATTTATCTAATAATAAATTTCAGTCTTGCATGAATGCAGCAATGTTTTTTCACATTGACTTCCCAGAATTCATAGCTAGATGAGGTCACATGCAAATTTCAAAGGTCAAACTAGATCAAAGGTCAGTAGGAGAACCAAATATGATGTGAGGTCAGAAAGACATCAGAAACAATGACGGGACGATGAAACTTTTTTTTTTTGAGACGCCACAGGGACATGCTAGGCAAACGATGGGCTAACGGGCATGGAGATGTCTAGGGAAAAAACAAGGAAGAGGAAAAAAGTTACACAGAATCTATGCAGCACAAACAAAATCACTTTTATGGGTGCACGAGAAAACTAATGCAAATCTTTTATCAGTAGAGTAGAGTCTATGAGCTGTTCACACAATTTGCATTAACTTACAATACTTGTCAACAACAGCACAATGGAACCCCAAAAGAATCCATCTGAGAGGAGTCAGAGAGAATGGATTCGTCTTTGGGGAGAAAGGAGAGGAAAGAACCAGCTTCTACAAACGTAACAAAAAGGTAAAGGGAGGGAAAAAAAGGGCCACACGACTGAACTTTAAACTAGGTAATGGAAACTACGAACAAAATAACCAGACAAATACAAACAAGAGGATAAAAGCATGAACTGTAAAGGGTGTAGGGTTCAACAATGAAAAAGCGCCCATTCTTGGCACAATTACTCTAGAGACTACTTCAAAGGATCTAGCTAGCATAGAGAGCTGCTCTTTAGGTATCCAATAAGTTAACAATAGGCAATAAATAACTTCCATTATTTCTGAGGCAGTAAAAATTTTGTATAAAAATAGAAATGCTTTTTACAAATAAAATTTACAGGCCTGTGGCTTTCTTTTTTATTATTATTAAATTTATCTCTCAAGAAACATCAAGTATTGTCACTCATTTTATTTTATTTTATTTTTTTATTTTAAACCCTGTAGCTTTAGAAACAGATCTCTAAATCTTTTTTACATTAATCCTTTCCAAAAAAAACCAGGAACTTAAAAAAAAAGTGAAATATAAAGACCAGTGTAAAATCAGACTAATATATAACAATACATTGTTTTGAACTGAGAAAAAAAAAAATAATCAAATCTTCTCAAAAAACAAGTTGATGCAGTGGAAAGACTTGTTTCAAATTTTTTGTTGCAAAATAAGTGCTTCAACTGGCAGGAGGCCATTCTCTTTAACCTATAAACTGCTGGTGCCACCCTGGTAAAATAGGATCCATCCATAGAAAACAACTTTTATTGTGTGCTAATGGCACCAGGGTTCACAGAGTTAAATTGCACATTTTTTGAGAGAAAGTGTGTGTGTGTTGCTTTGAATTTCAAGACGTTTGTTTTTCAAAAAGGAGATAAATTATGCTGCAAAACAAAATACAGTAACACAACTCACTAATTACTTGGCGAGGAAATGTGAGCCAAGTGTAATAAGGACAAGTGGGGAAATGGAAGTGGTAACTGTAAAAATAACTGTCTCTTGGTGAAGGTTGGCTATATGTTCTCTCTTAACCCCCCTGCAGAGGACAGGTTTGCTCATGGGACTTACCCTAAGAAAGCTAAAATAAGAGCAGTAAGCATCTGGGGTTAAGATCAGTAAGGTTTGCTGTCATTTTTGGAGCGTTTCAGCTGAACCTTCAAGCGTTTCATGCCAATCTGAAAGCCGTTCATAGCCTGGATAGCAGCTTGTGCAGAGACTGGATTGTCATAGCTAACAAAACCTATGAGACACAGAACGGAGGCGGGAGAGAAAGCGAACTGTAGGTTAGAACAAATTTCAGAAGGCTTTTGTTCGGATTTTATTATTGCTATTTGTTTGACACATTTATCTCTCTTTATTTAGTTGGTCACAGTTTATATCCCACTACCTTTCTCTTTTCCTTCTCCTTTACCTTTACAGTATTTGTTTTCTACTTGGGATGTGGTCGTCCAGTTTTGGTGCAATGCAGTTTCCCAATCTGTTTTTTTTTTTAATATACCTACCTTAGAGACTGTAGATATTTATCACTGTAATACTTTTCACTGTGATATCTACATACATCCCGGTCTATTAGCCCAATCTGCTGATGTGAAGCTGAAACAGAATACCTGGTTACAAAAACAAAACCCAAACTTGGATGCCTGTGTGCATTTGCACCTCTGAATGTAAGCTCATGAGCACTGGTCCTGGATGGTATTAAACAACCATCTCCTTGGGCCCAGCCTGGGACAGTTGCAATATTAATATTTTGTATTTTTGCAGCTCCTTCCAGTTCAAGACCTCAAGGTACATTAAATGTTTATTAATTCAGCCTCTTGGTCCCAAAAGGGACATGCAAGGATCGAAATTAAGCAACATCATAAAGACGATGGCAGGGCTTGATGAGAACTTCAGATCTTCTGCTGCTCAGTTGCTAGCACTAACTAGGGGGGATAATGCTTGCTCAGGTAATTCAGAATGGCTGGCCTGGCTCAGCTTTCTTTTCCCTGCGAGACTCAAAAAGCTCTGTTCATAATGGACTCAAATCTCCCTGATTCAGGAAGCCCAAAATTCATTTTCATATCTGGGCCTCCCACTTGTAATTGCAAGGCTCACCTAACTGCTGCTCTGTCTCTGCTCTGGCTAATTACTACTGCATTCCAGCCCACTATTATGCACACTTTGCAATGCTCCCTCTTCTTTCCACTCGAATTTGCCTTAATATACATCCCTTCAGTCTGTTAAAGCTGCCTCCCATACACTTTGTTTTCAATACTTCTCAGCTGCTCTCTTCTATCAGCTTTCTTCATTTATGCTTAGTGCCTGCATCCTTTTCTGATTTAAAACCTCTTTTTACCATCATTTTAACCTGCTCTTTTATGGCTCTTACTTAACTCGCACTGCTGCCCTCTTTCTTCTTCAGTGTCAGAGCTTCCCTCATTGTAAAGAAAAGAACCCCACTTAACAAGTGATTTGGTCCCTGTCTGCCCTCCCTCCTTCACAGACCTTCCCTCTAGTTCACCTTAAATCACCTTCACCAAACGATTTACTTACGATTCTTCTCTGATAATCCAGGTTCACATCTGCTTATTCCACTAAAAAAAAACTTATCACCTAAATCTCTGTAAACCCTCTCCTGGCCAAAGCCAACACAATTGCTTCATGTGGTTGATTAGTCATCAACTTCTTAAGAGATAATAAATGTTCCCTGATACCTTACTTGGTTCTAGTAACTTGTCACTTCCTCATTTTCTTCCCTTGATCATTTCCTCTTAATATTACTGCCTTATCCTGAAGAGCTTAATCACTTTCTTCTTTTCTTCTAGAAAATCTTCTAGGAGATCTTATCTATCCACATGACTAATCACTGTCTTAGCACTGCAATCTTTTGTCTAATTCCATCAGCTCACAGACCTCAAGCACTAGAATTTCCTTAGGAACAAAGACATAGCTATCATGAGTTGAAAGGCAGCTGTAGCACTTTCCAGGCAGATATTCCATAACCAAAGTGTAGCTACTCTTACCTTCCTTGACACGTCAGCAGTTTCCTCTACAGCCTTCCTGACCTTCATGTTCTCTTGAGAGCAATCAGAATGGTCTTTAGCTACAAAATTCTCATTATCTTAGTTCCTTTTTATCTTAGCTAGTCTTAGTGACCTGAAAGTTAAACAACTGATCTAAACTAGTCATCAGGTGGCATCTATGAATTGGGAATACTGAAAAGTGAGTACACCCAGAGGTGGCTTTTCTTCCCACTGTTTATGCCATGAAATGAGACACTCCTCTTTTGACAGAAGAACAATAATCTCAGGCTATCCTTACCTTCCAGAGGGATGTAATAAGGCACTTCATTCAACGTCTGTTTAATAGTTTCCTTGACAGTCACAAATTCAAATATACATCCTCTGTGCTGCACCAGTGGAATCAGCCTTTATCATTCAATTGTTATTCTGATTCACAATTTGTCTCTGTACATAGAATGCTATATCTACATTAGCCTGTCACACTTTCATCTTGTCCCTTATCATCAACCTTCACTTCTAAAGCTTGTGGAGGAGTCTGGCATTCTCTCCCTTTATTTATCTGATTCTGATTGCAACCGTTCATCATTCTTATTTTTTTTTTTTTGGTCTGAAACTTAAATTGCAGGTTACATGGGGATTATGTTCCTTATCAATTTTCAAAGCATATGTCACGATGATCCTGATTTTTGTTTTAAATCTCTTGGTACCTTTGTAACCAGGATAAATATTTTTAATCATTTGAGTAGCGATTTTGCTGTGTGGCAGACTGAATTTACACATGGATGTCACCGGATCCCTTCTCCCCTGCCTTTTACATTTTCTCATTTCTGTTATTGTAAGATTTATGAAAAATGAGAAGGCTGGAGAGTGAAACCTTTTGTCAGCAGAATCAGCTAGAGCTCACGAGAGTTCACGGAAGAGTACTTTCAGGGGTAGAGGGACTGTCCTGTCATCCTCATCACTGTTTAATCTCTTGAGCATCCATTTGAGCTGGACAAGAAAGCAAATAATACCAAAGCTCATTTTCTGCAAAGAAAAGTAATTTTTCATTTTGTGAGGCAGTGTTACATAAAAGCTTATTATCACTACTCCAAGATTCACTTGGAATGTACCTTCTCTTTCCAATTCTACCAATGGATGGCCTTGGGCAATCTTTTCACCATTGTAGTGCTCACTCTGCTGTAGAGCATTGTAGTGCTCTCAGTAATTTGACTTCCAAAAAGTCCCCAACCATACCAGCTGAACAAAAAAGAATCAAGCCCAAACTGCACTAGGAGCAATGGCCATTACGAGTCAGAAACGGGTAATTCAGATGCACTATTGTGCCAGTTTTTGGGTGAGGGTATAAAGAGAGAGGAAAAAAAAGCTTTTGAAATACAAATATGGGGTTGAGACGACAAAGAGATGAGGTGATTCTTGCTTAGTAAAACTGGGCCAATGGATACAGTATGCTAAACTTGCAGGATTAATTCTGGCCTGTGATTAGGAGCATCACACGGGTAGTCACCTACTGTATCTGAGCATCTCAACTTCCTCTGCCAGCATAGTACTTTTTGCTTTTAAAGCAGAACTCTCTCGCTAGTGGCAGAATATCTGGGGAAGGAAGAATGAGGAATTGCAATGTTAGTGAAACTTGACTAATGCCTAAAAGACAGAGGACTGCTCCATCCATTGGGTGTTGACCCCTCTGTTTTCCCTCAAACAAGATTGCCTCAGTTCATCATTCTAAGTAAGGTAATTGTGTCCCATAAATCCAGATGAATGTGTAGGTAGGTAATCAAACAGTAAAAAGAAACTCACAAAAACCTAGTATGGGAAGCAAGTTGATGAATTGAGCTGCCTGTTCAAACTAATCTACATTTTTTCATTAGTGATCACAATTGCTGCGTTTCGATTAACACAGCTTGATTTGACATTTCATCAAGATTCGTGGAGACCTCAACAATGATTTTGTCACCCCAACATACTAACTGAACTGGTTCCAGATCAATAGGGAGTCATTTTCAATTCCACTTTTCAAATTTGCTATAGCCTCAGGGACTGTTTTAACCCACTGCAGAAATACACTGGACTATATTAGTCTAAATACTAACAATTTCTTGTAAAGCATAAACAGGGACCAAAAAATATATGGGAAAATGCAGAAAGAATGTTGCACCCTTTCTCTAAAGTGAATTACTTTCCAGGTGTACTAAGGATTTGTCTTTAGGTGAAAAACACTCAGATTGTGCTATGACTTGAATTCTAGTGCAGTAGGTATTTCTGAGTAGTGCGATAACTGCTGCTCTTGTTTGGGTATTGTGTGTTTAGATAAATTCATCTCCTTCCAAAATGGTTTAAAGAGCAAAAGCTGCTCCTGAATGGCCCTTGTGTAGACAAAACCTTTGACAGACACATTTTAACAGAACGTAGATATAAAAATGTAATGATAGGCAAGCTAAGAAACATGTATTATGGTTAACGGGGAAGCCTGAAAATTAAGGAATGGTGCTGTTCAAAGAGTAACAGCGCCAGTACAAAGGAGTTTTTGAAAATAAAGGGACTGTCATGACTAATTTATCATATAGACAGTTGTTTCTCTATGCTCTGGGAAAGAGCTGTCATTTTTCTGGAAACTCCAGTATTTTGGGTCAAACCTTCACACAATTTTCTTTCAGCGATTCTGTCCTCCTCCCATGCTCTCTTCATGCCTTGCATTGGAATCACAGTTATTAGACTGCAGTCTAACTAATTACCACTAGCTAACATTCTGTTTTCCACTCTACCAAGTCACTAAACTGGTGCACCTATGTCATTCAAAGAACATCTGCCCACCTGACTAACCCTAGAATTTGTTTTATAACAACCAAAACATCATCTTTTCCTCCACTGCAATCTAGCTTTCTGCTAGCTCAGAGCATTCCTTAGGAAACTTGACACTGATCAGTCGATGCTGCCTTCATCCCTGCCCTAAGGTAAGGGCATATACTGCCCTTCATAATGCATTGGCACCTGCCCAAAGCAGTTATAGCTGCATATCTAGACACCAACTGCCAGTAACGTGTTCTGAACTACATGTGCAAGCCATTCAAGCACTAATTGCACAATCTTGTACCTAATTCAGAAGAAAGAAATTCCTGTAATGTAGAAGTAATGGGTTAAACATAGAGCATTCTTAAGTGGCTCAGCTATACAATAGAGAATAATTAGTTATCCATAATAAGGCAGCTTAATAGTATACTAAATGACATTCCCCCACATAGGGTGTAATTAGTTTCATGTACTTGACACATTTATGCGAGATGTCAGACTGGAAGATTATTATTGTTTTTCACATCCAATTTTTAGTTAGAACTAGTTTGCCTGTGCATCCTTCCACTCACTTGAGGATTAGGAGTCCATTATTTTGGGAATGAGATTCCAGTATGACATTTCTCACACTGCTGTTAATTTTCTTTCCTGACCCCTTTTCAATGCAGTGCATGTGGTTCTTACTATTTAATTTATTAAATTTGACATACCAAAGCACTTGCTCAGATTGGTCTGTTTGTCAATGAAGACTTTAGCAGAGATAACATTTCCAAAAGGCATGAACATCTGCAGAATGTCCTGGTCTCCAAATTCCTGGGGGAGGTGGTAAATAAAGAGGTTTGCCCCTTCTGGACCTTTAGGAAAACAAACAAATAAAAAAGTCTGAAAATGGCTATTACCAGTGCTATGTTTAATCTGTTTTTCCATAGTACTTACTGAAGGTGATGGTCAGAAAGCATTTCACTTTGCAACTCCGAAGGAAGAAAAGTAAGTGGATCATCAAAGGAATAGAGCTGAAATGGAGCTCTTTAGAGCATCCTATCTTGCAAAGTGTTCACTTGATACCTCTACTACAAAAGAAGTTAAACTGCAGGCTTTTTCTTCAATTTACTCAAGTGTCTTTCAGTAAAATTAGGGTTAGGAAAGCAGGTACACAATGTATTACTCTCTCACAATACTCCAAGATCTGCACAAAGAGCCCCCTGCTGCCTCAAACATCTACATGGGTTTGTTGGTTTAATTCTCCGTTGCAGGAATTTAGGGAAACACAACCAGCTGAGCTCAGGTTGGAGCCTTGCAGATTTATACTAAAAGGGCAGGAAGTTGGTGGCAATGGGAGCAGAAAGGGTAAGAAAAAGCAAACGTTTTGACTTGGAAATCATTGAAGTCAGAGAGAGAAAGAAGCTAAGAACTAAAGAGCTTGCCCTTTTTAAAAATACGAATACTCCTGAGAAAGCTCTATCTCCTGGAAAAAGCTCCGTAAAATAATTATTTTTAATAAGTTCAAACTGAAGTTGCTGGGTTGAGATTAAAGTGGCTTTATACAAATTGAGGTTGAAAAGAAAGGTACAGGAAAGGTGCTTTTGAACATTTTTCTTATAGCCTATGTCTGAGATACATGTTATTCGTGCTATTGGTTTAAGCATGCCCCATAGCAATAAATTGTTGTTATTTTTGTATAATTGTGTTATTTTTTATTTATTCTCAGTTCAGTTTTTCTTTTATAGGCATATGCTGGGAATGAGCCATTAATGTGACCTATGATGCAATCAGACACGTGGCCCTCCCACACAGTGGGAGCACAAGAAAACAAACATTTCTGTTAAAAACATGTATAAAGTAACTCACTTAAATATTCCCTTGCTTAATGGAACCTAAGTGTGTATATGATAGGATGTCTGTGGTTTCAAGATTGGAGCTAGAAGCACACACTGCATTCATGGAGTACCTTCAGCAGCAGTCACTGAAGACCCACCTCTCACAACAGAAGAACCAGAATGCTGCCCTCTGTCAGCCTGAAGTAAAAGGCTGCAGTATTTGCCCAGAGCAAGATTTAAATGGCTCAAAAAGAAAAAAATTTTGTTGGTGGTGGTGGAAGAAAAGAAGGAAAAAGAATTTCACCTGCACCTTATTTCTTCTGACATAAAATAAATTATAATTACAAAAAAAACTTTCTTTTTTTGTTTTTACAATATTATTTAAAAATATTACTATTTTTTAAATAGCAAGCAAAACTTGTTCAGCAAGCAAAACTTGTTCAACAATGGTGTACTGCATGTGCACAAGGCAGTTCACTGTGCTTCAGCACTGAGTACTGATACCGTATTTTGCTTTGGTATCTTGTTATCCTTGACCACTCTTCACCGTGCCATGAGAAATCATGGTAAGAAGTAAAACAGAGTTGTCAGTATTCAAAGATGGAATTTATTCACTTCAACTTAACCCGTTACTTACAGAAACAAGGCATAACAAAGCAGGCTGTGTTTTTAAAAAGACACTGTCAATTCAAAAAGAAAACACAACCCAGACTTGATAGCTCATATACTGACAAAAACAAACAGAAGAAAATCAAACTGTCCTTCAGTGAATATCTTAGAATGACACCAGATAAACAATATCTGGTGTCAAACAGTCCATTGTCACAGACCAATGTGAGTGAGATGAAGGACAAGAGCACAGAACACAACAAAATTTGGAAAAAAAAATAATAAACCAACAAAAAGCTTCCATTTACTACAATCCAAGCTTTTAGCAGTAAAAGAAACAACAAATTTAGAGAAAATATTCATTTTAACTCCACAGTGTCTTCATATAACAACCAGCTGTGGGAATGCCGAATTTATCTTCCTAGGAAACACCACATCCCATAACAGCGCAAGATACGATATTAAATGAGGATAAAAATCTTTCTCTTGAGGATATTACAGTGGGTTTATTTCCAAAGCTTATCTCTGGCAAGAGCAGTAGTGGGAACACAGATACAATCTTAGAAAGCATGCAATATTTTCCTGTCCTTCTAGAATTAGCTGGAATTTTGGATGAGAGAAGGGAAAGCAATGAAAACAGAAACAAAACCCCAAAATGCCTGAGTACAGGAGAATGAAAGAGGGGAAAAGGGTAACCTCATGTTACTAAACATTTAGTAATTACTATTCATTCATTCTTAGCAGAAAACTCCTGAGGTTTGTTTTGCTCTACTGGTGCAGGGAGAGGGACAATCACTCCCTTAAGCTGCATCCCTGCAAAACCCAGAATTAAGCAAAGAACCACTTAGAGCAGTCAGATCTGACTCAGAAAACTTAAACCTAATCAGATTAAATCCATTATTACGGAAAATGGAAACCAGTGCAGAGTGTGAGTGAGGGTCACCTGTAAAGAGATGAATTTTGCTACTGATGCCTTTTTATGCAGCAGAGCTTTTAGCGCAGAACTGTCAGTAAGGCATGGCTGGAAGGAGAGATGGTAAGAAAGAAAAGACAATTACAGTAGAAATTGAAAAAATGAAAAACACTAATCAGGGCAGGAGAAAGTGTAAACTTCAAAGACAAGGCTATCTGAGATCTTTTGTTGCTTTCTGAGATCTTTTTGTTGAGCCACTGTGAAGAAATAAACCTAAGGCATGGCTGTGGGAATGCCAGGCTGTCTCAGAATCATAGAACCATACAAACATAGACTGGCTTAGGTTGGAAGGCACCTTAAAGATCATCTTGTTCCAACACCCACCAGCTCAGACTGCCTAGGGCCCCATCCAACCTGGCCTTGAGCAGCTCCAGGAATGGGGCATCCGCAGCCTGTCTGGTCAGCCTCAATTCAAGCACCTCACCACTCTCAATTACCTATTATGATTACCAATTGTCCTATCACTGTCAGATTGTGTAAAAAATTGGTCTCCTTCCTGGAAGGCCACAATGAGGTCTCCACTGAGCCTTCTTTTCTCCAGGCTGAACTAGCTCAGCTTCCTCAGTTTGTCTTCAAAGGAGAAATGCTCCAGTCCTCTGAGCATCCTCATGGCCTCGTCTGGACCGACTCCAACAGCTCCATGTCCTTCTTGTGTTTGGGGCCCCATCAGTCCAGATGAGGCTCATAAGGGCAGAGTAAAGGGGACCATTCCCCTCCCTCTCCTTGCTGGCCTCCCTGCATCCTCTGTTGATGCAGCCCGGGACACTGTTGGCCTTGTGGGTCTTCCAGAAAATACCGCATGCTTGGTTGAGCATGGCTTACCCTAAAATGGGCAGATGCTTACCTTCCTTCTGGCTGCCCGCGGCGCTTTGCTGCTGCAACAAGCTCTGGCTGTACAAGGTGGGCAGCGCAGCGGCAGCATACTGCTGGATTCCTGAGTAGGCCTGGGTGAGCGCGTCCATTGTGCCGGCCGTACCATTCGTCAAGCCTGTTGCGCCGAGTCCTCCGTTCAGGGCCGCCATACCTGAGAGCATTTGAGCAACTTTACAAAAAACCCAACAATAGAGAAAAGAAATTGCACTTGTTCATTAGTGCTTTCCGAAAGTTGTTGGTATTATATTGACACTGACAAAGACGGCAGTGCATGCAGCTTGGCGTGGCACCAAATGGGACTGAAAACAAAGAAACACGACTTTGGCATCAGGATCACTTCAGCACAATGGTTGCACAGTCAAACAGACTTACATGCAGCCTGCTACTGGCAAGTACTACAGCTCTGTGCCCCCCAAGTCCTCTCCGCTCATCAACCTCAAGCCTCATGCTTCTTGGGGTGTCCAAGAGCAGGACCCATTCAACCTCCATCTTCGTGAGCTGGCCACTTGGGAAAAAGCATTCTGGGAGAAAACCCACACTCTCTGGACCGGTCTTTATCAAAGGGATATTTGCTCATACAGAGTCAGCATAGAACCCTGATTCACAGCGTTTTGAAACAAACATCCACATAGCTCCAGGCTTTCTCTCTTGGATTTCTGGTCAGAAGATGGATGGTGATGCTTTGCATTTCCATCCCCCTCTCCCAGCTACACTTGTAAGGGCAGAATGGATGAACAACAGTGCCACTGTAATGACCGCAAGCGCTTCGTCCAAACCAAGAATCTTTTACAAAAAAACAAAAGTGTTTGGTTCTAGCAATGTGTTTCTTTACTCCTCATTGGAAGCAGAGCTGCCTAATTTTTTTCTTCAAAATGATTCCACATCCTGATAAATAACAGGTTAATTTGACTGGGATGACTGCCAAGGAGGAAATTTCAGACTGGATTGCTAGCTGTGCATAAAATGGCATCCTTCATCCATTCAAACAGCACTATCTGCGAAAGAACTCCTGGACGACAGCCTCTTCTCATTACTTCTGTGCATCCTCATGGCTCTAAGATGAGCCACAACGAAGTTAACAAAATTAACATTTATTTTTTTCAGAAATTCCAGAAAAAATTAATTTTCTCCTTTGGCAGTCAAATGGGTAGCAAGATTCAGAAACCTGCTCATTGCCCACATTCTGACTACTGTCAAATAGAGAGTAAGTGCTCAGCAGGTCTGAGAGGCCACCTTTTGTGTGCGATTACTACTCTGTGCTCTCCATTTTTTAGGCGAACAGATCACAAACAACTTATTAGGGCTTAATCAGGCCTCTCAAGGCACACTAAAACAGTCACCAGAAAAACGGGGCATCTGGAACCACCACCAATAGTTTCTTAGTCATTGACTGTGTCCAGTTTCTGTTGGCACAATGACGGGTGGAGGTAACTGGTGGAGTTGTACTGGGACCCAAAAGATAGGAATATTGAGAAAAAAAAAAAAGAGGGCTTAACTTCAGAGCAACAATAAAGTGCTTCTATGTAAATGGGAGAAAAGTAAGGAAATTAAGGAGAGGACACTTTACAGTGAATAAACAATTAAATCTATTACATTAGGTAACAATCTTCTTCAAGGAAAGTGGTATAAACCTTATCACATGAGTAATTTGGAGATAGAAAGAATACTGGAGGGAATTATCCTGAATTGACAGAGGAGGATAAAGATGCTGACCTACTAGTTTTCTTCCATCTCTCATGTAGATTCAGGAAGTGTATTCCTACGAGTCTCTGATAATCAGGACAATTGCTCAAGTGGCACCTTTCTGGCTCCACCAGAGTCTGTGCCAATTAAGACAACTGTACTGCATAAATTATACCATTTGATATTACTGTAATTTGTGTGACTAAACACTTGACAGAGATGTGATATTCTTAGCTTTGCTTAATAAAATGTCTTGCACTTTGAAGATTTCTCTTTCCCCTCCACCCCACTTCAGAGCACTGCTGTATCCTGATAGGAGATACTGGCTGCATCTATGAACAAAAATCTCTGTCAGAGCAGAGCCAGCTATTCCTTGTCTAATGGTTCCAAATGTGAAACAAAACCTGCAAACCAATGTAGTTTAAGAAACACCTTGTATCTAAAAGACAAGATATTTTGAAAATGAAGATTCAAACTAATAACGATGATGAAGCAATAATTTGATTCTGAGCCTGACTTTAACTTACTCGTTAGATTCCATACTTAATTTGTGTCATTGCTTGCATGTGTACACACAGCACTGATTGATAAAAAAAAAAAAAACCAACAAAACTTGTATCTCTCCCTTTATTATAGTGTTGAAATAACTTGATAATAGCGGAAGCATTAGGATAACACGTTATCTTGTGTGAGTCATCAGCCTATTAGACAAACACGCTTTGTGTCGCTGTGGGCAGCATCCTCCCCCTTCTTTCACCCAGAATCAATAGCCGCTACCCACCAAATGATTTCAGATCAGCCAGCAGATAGCTCCTGCTCAGCACGCTGCTTCTGGGAAGGGCACTTCTACCCAACCGCAGTCTAAATACGCTTCCCTCCTGAGCAAAGCAGCTCTGCAGAAAAGTCTCTGTTTTTTTTCTCTTCTCCTTTTTCACACGTTACAAAATCTGCAAGGTCCAGCTGCAGTTACATATTTCTGCCATCTCTCTATGATATCTACTAATGCACCTCAGACTGATATTAAACTCTAGTATTTTCCTCGCTTCTGTGAAATAATCATTTTGAGTCTCTCATCCACAGCATTCTACTTTTCTGAGCTACATAACACAGAAATGACAATGCTTGGCGAGTCCTAAGATCTCTCAAAGTGCCTTCCAAGCACCTTCAAATCTGTCACAAATAATTTTACCTCCAATTGACAGATGTAAATACAGGGATAGAAAGGCTAACTGCCCTGGATTCACATACAAATATTCTGTCATAGCTGTCCAACATGCTGAGTCTATGGTCTTCTTTCTTGACTATTTAAATTTACTTTCCTCAAAGGAGACAGCCTTTTTAGATGTTTCAAGCAGAAAAAAGGATGATTGGGTGAATCCCCAAATGTACAAGGGCTGCTCCAAACGTAATGTCTCCTATTTTATTATGTTGGCCCATGACATCAGAGGCGGTGGTTGGTGGTATTGCAGCAGAGGTTAAACCTTCCCACCAGTGTTCCATTTTGTTGCTATTTGACAGATGGCAGCAGAGGGGCAGTCTGACAAAATGGTGTCTGACACAGAAGTGTGTATGAAGCAAAGGCGCAGAACTGAATCCCTCTGTGCAGAAAAAAATGGCACTTACTGACATTCATTGGCTTGCTGAATGTTTATGGAGATCAAACAGTGGATGTGAGCACAGTAAAGCAGTGGGTGATGTAGATCAGCAGCGGTGACAGTAACATTAAAGACAAGCCATGGTCTATAAGGCCAAGCACAGCTGTTACACTACAAAATGAAGAGTGTCTTGATCAGCTTGTCTGCATGAATTGGTTATGGTGGTGACTCTGTTGAAAAACTATGTGTAGCTGAGAATTTTGTCTTTGAAATAGTGTGACTGTGTTTTCTGTTTCTGTTGTAGTTCCCGTGGAAAAAGATAAAAGGCATTTCTTTTGGAGCAACCCATGTATGTACAACTGTTGCTGATCCTCGGAGACATCTGACTCACCATATTCCACTTTTAGTTTTATGACCTCAAATATGTTTCTACAGTGCTTCTCTCTACAGTGTGAGCACTACCGGTTTCCAGAGCTCAGCCTGATTTCCCCAGACCCAGAAAGCAGACCAAGTCCCCTTGTGAACTTAGCCTAGAAGACGTTCTCCCAGTGAATCTTACGCACATGAACATGGTTTCAACAGAAGAACATCTCCTTCAAAACATCTGTGTAAACGAACGTGCAAGACCAGTGCGACCTTCTGATTCTTTCTGGGTTTATGCTCAGCTCGACTGGTGCTTTGGTCATTCTCATTAATTCTCCAACCGAAAGCATATCACTGATTTCCAACTTTTCTGCATAATTATTTCAGGAACCTTCATGACAAAACAATGTTTTGCTCTTGACCACAGCATATTGTGAAACATCAGACCCACTGAACTTCTGGTTTCCTGAAGACAGAATGTGAACAACTGGATTGGAAAGGGTCACTACAAAAAGCCCTGGCTTATCATTCAAATAGACAGGGGAGGTTGTTAGCATTGGGACAGTGCTTTGCTACTGTCAGTGTCACAAGCAACTGAAACTGATAATCTGTGTTCTCCTGAAAGGAACACATGCCACAACTCAGCATATGAGGAAATAGTTTCTCCTCTTTGTATCTCTCTCACAGACTAATATATTTATGTATATAAATAGACAGACATATCCACATACATTTTTTTACGTACAAGCGCTATAAACATAGAAATTCTAGGCACGTACACATTCTGCAATTCAGGAAGATTTGGGACTGAAGCCATTGTTGTTATGAGTCTATGGAAGCAATGGTGGCTTCTAACAAGCTAGAATTTAGTACCAGGTTGTGAATACATCATTAATACTTCAAATGGCACATGCAGGTAAATTCGCACACACAACACCCGAACATTCTTGTTGAGAAAATGTGAACTCTTAGCTTGCAGCCTTGCAATAAATGATAAAAGGAGCACAACAGAAGGATTTCCATGTGAAGACAAGAGCTCATAGGTGATTCATTCCTGCTCACTGTAGATGAAGGGAATGTTATCTTGGAGTGCTCTAGTGTGCCTAGGTTCTTAGTATTTGTGGGAGGGAAGCAGTGGGATGCTATATGCTGCTCTTGATATTGTGACCTCTTGAAAATGATGTAAAGCACAATGACTGTTTATCAGAGGAAGGACATTTAATGTTTTCTTACTTATGACAGTGTAATTCTCTTATTCAGAGAGCTCATTAGAGGAGATAAGTTAGCTTTTCATGCATGCCATTGTCAGTAGCTTGTTTTAATAGTAAGTTAGAATAAAAAAAAAAAGCTAACATTGGCATTTTGGAACCTAATATACATACTTTTCTTCAATTGTTCTGAAGTCATCTTTGCTATAAGGTTGTTTGTGTGAAATATGCATGTCCTTGCCAGAAGCAAGATCTGTTTTACACAAGGCCCCATGCAATCACTCATCATTGCTACATGGACAGCCATTAGCCCCCTTCCTTCCCAGATCCCAACAATGACAACCAGAGATCACAGAACAAAAGGACTGGGTGAGCAGCCAAATAACAGTAACAAAAAGGACATCATGCAGAGCATCAGAGTGAGCAAGTGATACTGAGGAGGACATCCATTCCTGGGGGCACATTATGATGGGTCATGGACCGTCAATGACTAAGTAGATTCCTTGCATTTCTGAAGGGAATGCAAGGAACAACAGCAACTAAAAAAGGGGACGGGAAAATGCAGCTGAACCAATTTCTTCCATTTCAGGCAAAGGTGAAGTCCTCATAACAAATACGATAAAAAAATTCTTCTTTGGGAAAAAAACTTGACCAAGGCTGAGAACAAAGATGTTCTAACAGCTACCACAATCTACCTATCTTGGTATGTCAGGGTTTAAGATGCCATAGGATAGATACTCATGTTCTGGTATTACAGCTGACTAATGTCACTGTTTTCATATACTTGCCAATTAAATGCCAAAAAGTTGCCCTCATTTTAAAAACAAGTACGCTGCTCTCGTGTCAATTTGATAAGTCCTACAAACTTTATAAAAGAACTACCTCTGTGGCAAGTGTGCCTCTCTTAGCATGACATTTCTGAATGAGGTTTTGTGCACTGATCTGGAATCTTTTCAGACTCCCAGACTGAAGGAGCTTATCCTATGAGCTAGATAACCAGATTCCCTGGTAACATTTCTTTTGCCTTCCATTTGCTTGCAAGAAAAGGAATCTTTTTGCAGGGACCCAAAAGACTTCACTTTGCAGAGCAAATTATGTGAAACTTAAAGACTCCAGAACTGCGTATGTAACATGAATGGAACTAGACCAGCTTGACTACTTGTGCATATAGATTAAAAATAATTGTATAATCACTTTACAATTGGCAGTTTTTGTGGCAAGATTATTGGGGAAGGCTGTCCACCACAGCAATAAATACTCACTGTTTACGGTACCTGCTAGTGCATTAATATTATTCAGTCCAACGGTGGCTCCAGCCAGTCCTTGGAGAGTACCCAAAGAAGTCAAAGAATTCATGGCTGCACCAGCTGTGGAATTAGCAGTTGATGCAGCCACTAAAAGAAAAAGAAAATAAAGAAGGCAAAATTAAAGCCATATTTTGGCTACGTTAGTTGATCACAAAACAACTTACTTACAATAATGTTAAATGGAACAACAAGACTACTTGCAGTAAAGAAAGAAAAAATATCAGACCAATAGACCAACCTTGCTCAAAATGTTAATGTTATGACTGTTCACAGAAAGTGTTGATGAGCCTTGAACTGCAAAGTCTGGATCATAAAATTTAGCACTGTGCTATTTGCAAACAGTAACAGTAAGATCGAGTACAGTCACTTCTTCAAAAGTTTGTCAGCCAGGGTAGCATCCCAGGGTGATCACCCAACCAGCTGAGATACTGCTGCTTTTTAAACATCACTGAAAAAATAGAATTCCTTGTACAAGTTTGTCATACAACAGATTTTTGTCGGAGACTCTTCAAGTAAAATTTAAAATCTTCTGTGAGACACTACTCTCCAGTTATGGCTGCAGGACACTGTATGAACACTATTTGAATGCCTGAAGTTTACAAAAAACAAGAATTATGGGACATACACAAAAAGTAACCACTTATTGCAGGCTTTTAGTCTGGTCTATGTATGCAACTAGTCATTTACACGTACGCCATAGATGATACTTGATGCTTCTACCAAAGCTCTGCCAGAGGGAAAGCTGAGGCTCAGGGAGATAAAAGGTCTCTGCTGTTATGATGTTGAGACAATTCTGAAGGTGGGAGAGAGATAAATCCATCTAAATCGTATGCTTAGGCAGAGAAAGAGACTCAATCTCTTATCTCAGGAAATAAGGCACCGTAGAAATTTCTATCATTTACGATAGGTGGGATGAATTAGAAAAATGTCCTTCACCTGTAGAAGGGCCTTGAATAGCCTGCATGAATTAAAAAATTAACTTACAGATATATGAAGTTGTATCAGGTAAATCACACTTACAAAAGCTGAGGAAGTAATTAATTTTTTAGCTTGTCTCTAGAGCCCCATGTTAATACACCAATCACGAAGACTTTTTTTTCTTTTTCTTTAAAAATTGCACTTTGTTCTGAAAAATGAACATTCAAAGTCAATGTTTTGTTGGTGAACTACTGCATGCACATCATGTCTACACCGTGTTTTTTTTTGCTCCTACCCATTATGTAGCTGGGAAATGGTTAAGATGACTTCTATCTTGATGCTCTTTGATGCTCTTTTGGGTTGCTGAACACATCAGAATACCCAGTGAACCCTCAAGAAAGTGGAGTACCTACAGTTTGCAGCACCCAGGAAGGAAAAAGAAGCTGAGGCTAAATTTTCAAACGCTGTGGGTAAACTTCAAGGGCCTAAACTACAAAGAACTCATCTTTACAACCTCAAGACCCACCAAAGACAGCCTTCCCCTCTGGGCCTCCAAGTCCAGAGGACTCTCTCGATGAGAGTAAGGAAAGATTTCCTGAGTTTGGAGCATTCCTTGTCCCTACTTTCACCACATCTGCAGTGTTCTCTTGAATAATTTTATATGTTGCAGACAGAAGCAGCTTGGTTGATCAATCACCTTCTACAAAGCAATAAGCCAATAATGTCTCTGATTAAAAAAAACTTAATCCAAGAAACAAGTGAGAAAACTCTTTTGTTGGATAATGTGAACACCAGCAGAGAAGAGAGAAAAAATCAAAGTGGATGAATGTCAGTGAATTCCCTGTGACCAACACAGCTCTGTGTTTCTGTTCATGTTCATTATCAGATCATTTAAATGAAGCACTTAAATCTGAAGGATCTGATTGGTTATGACTGGGCTGAATTCCATTCATTGCTCTTTCAGAGTATTATATTACTCTTTTATCTTGATGAAACACATATATTTAAGAAATGAGAGAAATGGGGGCTAGCAAATTGCTTGCCTAAAATTACATTAAAGCTCTTGGGGGCAAATAATTCCTGTGAGTGAGAGCCATACGCTTATGGATTGTCAACACATCTGTTGGAGAAGGCAGAAAAATCTGATTAAATCCTCTTGTGTAGCCCAGAGCATATCGTGGTGGTTCTTATCAGGCTCACTGCTCAAACACGTGCCTTGAGGATGGCCAATATCTGGGGCCAACATTTCTTTTTTTCTTTTATTCTTTCCAAGTTTCTCCATTTCATCAGACAAACACAGAGCAGGTGTCTCAGCAATTCTCCCATTTGAAGTTGCAATGCAGATTATCTAGCTTGCCTAAATAATGACTTGGCACATAATCAATGTAAAATACTAGTTGGAGCACTGAAGAACCTCAGAAATCAGCATTTTGTTGTGGCTATTTCTTCTGCTTAACAGTTATCTGTCTCACAGATCCACTGGTACAATGTTTTTTTTTGCTCTTTGGCCTATTATTTCTTTGAGGAATAAGAAACTGAACAAATTGAGTGGTTTCCATTATCTTATTGAACATGGACTGAACAGAAATAAAAGGAGCTCCATTCATTAGGGCACTTGTACGCGATGGATCCAGCAACTTGTTGGATGAGATATCCTGGGAGACTCCACACCTTCTCCTCTTTTACTGCATCCTGTGCATATGAAATGAAGACAACGATGAGCTAAGACATTATGAATGGGACCAAGACTTAGAGAGAGCACAAAATGCTGCAAAAATCAACGGTTGAAGTAATGGTATTCCTTGTCCTCAAAAAACTTATAGGGAGATGAAACAAAGTCTTCGAGACTTTGAAAGTCTTACAAGAGACACGTGGAGGCTTAGGCCAGCTGAAAGTTTTTACCTTATGAACTCCCAGAATATGCTGAAAATCATCTGAAGACAAGGACTATGCCTTTCCGGTCTTTTGCCCTTTTCTACTTACTTTCAACTAAAAGTTTTAATGTCTACTGAACCAAAGGGGAAAAAAAAGAAAAATTATATGCCTTGTGGTAAAGGTAGATGATTGCACTATTATGGGGGAACCTGTGTATTTCTCTCATGTCAGCAAAGCTCCTGGGCTTCCAGAACTTGCTCAGAGTAATGGCAAAGGAAGTATGGTGCACTGCTGGAACAGCATTATTCTATATTTATGGCTTTTAGTTTTCCACATGACAAACACAGATTGGATACCTACAGAATTTATAAATTCATTTTTACCAGGCTCTCCTGGCACCATGTAAATTAAAGGAAAACATTTCACAGCTCAGCACCACCACATAGCTGCTCTGAATTGAATCACTTCACAGTGGTGCTTAATTAAGAGTAGGTATCTCTCCAGCTACACAGACAGCCTGATGTATGGAGCTGTAATGCTGCCAGGAATCACCCTCTTTGTGCTACTGGTGCACCACTATTAAGTGCAACACAGAGGAAAATCAAAACACATAAAAAAGTGCAAATCATAGAATACCATACATAGAATACTCTGAGTTGGAAGGGACCCATAAGGATCAAGTCCAATTTCTATGACTTAGGCTTCTGGAATCCCTCTGTATGGCATGCCTTTTTTCCACAACATTTGCTATATTATTTTTCTCTTCATACTGGCAATTTTATAGTTGCCTCCTTAAACCTATATGTGGCAGGGTGACGTAGGGCTGCGTTAAGTGAATTAGCCGATACTGAAGTTAGGGGGAGAGATTCAGCCTGATGATTATACAGTAGCTGCATATACAAAAGGCAGAGAAGAACAGAGCTGCTTTTTATCTGCTGCACCTACCCCTCCCTAACAATTTTAAGCCTTGGATAAACATCAGAACATAACAGATAAGATTTTGTCTGCTTTTTCCTCTCCAGCATCAGTCACTGGAATAAGTTGACAGCTTTCTCAAAGAGACTGTTGCTCAATGAGAGCAGCACTGTCTGGCCCTAGTGGAGAAGTTATGGGGTTGGATCCTTTGGCTGATGTTCCAAGAGTTCAGGCCAGATGCTCACCATAACTCTAAATAACCTTAATAATCTATTAATATGTGAAGATACCACAGCTTTGGAAAGAGGTCAGTGAAGACTGGCAAGAATTGTCCAATGACCTGTAGAAAAGTCTGCTTTGTCTCTTGAAGATATGCTATGTGCTGGACAGCTGTTGCCTCCTCCATCTAGGACCCATCCAGAGACTATAAAGAACTTTTAGAATCTTCAACCATGAAAGATAAGATTCAAAATGTATATTTAACTATTAGAGACTACAGTAGCTTCTTCACTGATCCTTTCTTCCCATATTTCTGAGTCAGCCTCATAACTATCTGCTTCTTTTTCCTTCCAGACTACTCAACTTCAGTTTAGTAAATAGCCAAACACTTCCAAATATTATAAATAATATTATTAATAAGTTGAGAACTAGAAAAGAGCATACTAGAGCTCTCCCTCGTGACACTCCCAAATCCCTTCCAACCTCAGCAATTTGATCTCTTCCTAAATGAAATTTTTTTATGAGCTTCATTATAAATAAAGAAACTTGGCCTTTGATTAACATATTATTTAACAGAGCTCTCTTTGATATAGTGAACATGTTTTGATTTGGAGTGAATGTTGTACATGGTTATTTAATTACCACTGTTGTTTTTGTGGAGATTTTTAAGGCTGGATTTATCTGGTATTTTCATCTATTGTCAACATTTTAATTTCTGCATGCAATAGAGTATAGCAACTTTTAAGTCAAAACTCTTATACAAAAAGTTTAAGTGAGCAATGAGACATTTCCCTTCTTATTAGTAGCATTTCAACACAATTCCTAAAAACTATGCCAATCTAGAGAAACAGGCAGTACTAACCATAGACTTTTGGCCATTCTGTTGGCAAGCTTAGATCTATGGAGTCACAATGATTTACATCTGGATTCACATCAGCTGGAAAACTAGATTCAGGATAACAGCATCTAGGAAAGTCAATGATGTGGAAATATTTTTTTGGCTTTGCACTGCATACTGTGGATGGGATTAATTTCTCCGCCTTTGGCAGTCTCACAGTTAGTTTAAGCTAGTCTAGCCAAAACTGTTCCTTTGGACCATCTCTCAGATAAAGAGACATGTAGCTTCAGTGCGCTACCTTTGGATTTCTATGTCAGGATGA